GACAAAAAGAAGATAAATTAAAGTCCTGACATCAATACCATATCATATGTTTTCATTAAAATACAATATTTTTTTATTTCGACAAAAAAAAATTTACAAATTTCTAATGAAAAAAAAATTTTATTTAATTGATAGAATTTATTAGTCTATTGATTTTTCTCAAGACTGATTTCAGTCCCTGGGACTGAAGAGTGGCACCCATGGAGACGAGGCAATCAAGACCCTCTGAATCATCCTTTTCCAATTACGCAATGCAATAATTGTGTTGGAACACAATCAAAGAATAGGCAAGATTAACGACAACCAACGATTTTACAGCAACAAAAGTCTCAGACGTCACACACAAAAGAGAAAGCAACAAAAGAAATCATCTAAGAACTCTTCACCGCAAATGAAGGCTGGGTCTTAGATCTCTTAAATACCTGTCTGAAACTCATCAGTCATATTTTCCAACCCGGTGGAAAAAAATAAGGAATTAAGGAATATTTTTATCCGGAGACTTAATAAAGGCAAGCAAAAAGCATATTCATACCGGTCGATTTTCTTCCTGTCCTGCTGGGGCAGAGTGCTAGTTAAATTATTAACACATCCTTTAAATTTTGATCATGATGATTCAACGTCATTTTGTTAAAATGCAAGAAACTAGTTGAAAACTGTTGCTTTTGAGCTATTTTTATAAATTGGCTTGATTTTTAAGGTTAAACGTCTTTTGAAACTTTAAAATACTTGAAACCTAATGGCAACCAGAGACCACTAGTACCAGGGCTTAAGAATGAATAGAAAGGCTAGTTCACTCCTTTGAAGAGACTCATGCGGCTCAAGCTTCTGATTTCAGTTAGTGGCGGCACAGCCTCAACTTCTCGCTTTAAAAATAAATTGTTTCCTATGTAACAAGCATTTTTTTCTTTTTTTACCTATTTCGCTACATTCATTGTTTTCCACATTTTTTTCTTTTTATGTGATTTTCTTCTCACCTGATTGCAAAATTTTAACAGTCATAGTCAAATATCAGCTTGCGTGGCTGGCAAGAGTTATTATAAAACACAAAATAAGGAAACGTAATTTTACATGTTTTACTTCAGAAAATATAACATATGTAATGATATCAAATGAATTATAAGATGCACTGGAAGAATTTATCCTGCTGTGAATAAAAAAGCATCATGTTTTTCGTTTAGACGTTTAAGAACTTTTAACAACTTTAAATAGAAAATAAAATCCTGATCTTCAAAAATAAAAGTTGCTAAAAGCTGTTCTAATTTCAAAATGAATATATTTCTTAATGTCACTATTCAAAATCTTTATGTGTTTTAGTTATAACTCCTTAATTTTAAATATTTATGTGTAATATTTCCATTATTACATGCTCAAAGATTATTTTTTTTAGTAATCAGCATTTAAAACTTTTGTTTCTTAGGAATAATGTATAAATATATGAGAATATATTAAAAGTAGATATCCCAATTAATAAACTATTGTTACGGAAGAATATGCTACTATAAAAGAGTTCTTATATGCTTTCTTTTAATTAACAGCAAAGTAAAAAACTAAAATTAGAAAACAATAATGAAACAATGACGACAAACAATGAGAAATTTTTTCTAACTTTAAAATGTTATTTTTAATACTAAAAGAAAATGTATGAATACTATATTTTTGAACAAAAATAATTTGTTAACAGTGAAAAGTTTGATCTATCAGCTACAATCAGAAAAATGTTGAACATTCAACTCATTTCAAGTATAAACAAAGTTTTCATATCCTTAAGTTGTGATTTTTGAGATCTGTGTGCAGAGCGACGTCATGAGGTGGGTAATCGTAGCTTCAGCTTTGAGTAAGAAATGAACCAGCCCTTCTCTTTAGCCCAGCACTAGTACAGGGATAAAATTATTTATTAAATATCAAAAGGATTTTGATTTATAATGAATAAAAATTTTTACACCTTATAAAACTAATTTACTGCTGCAAATTATTTGGGGGTAATCACACTTGACTAGCATTCTAGGAGGGTTGCTAGGCGACCGCAGACGATTTTAATCTAAAGTTTGATATTTTTAAACATAAATTCAGCAGACGATTTACCATTATAGCTTCATTTTGTGTTGTTGACAGTAAATTGAAAAGTTCTTCTCTTTCAAAAAATGGAATTGAATCGTGAACATTTTCGTGCCATTATTTTTCTGTTTTTTCAAGACAAGAGTGCTTCGATGAACTTAATTCTTTATTCAGCGATAAAGCGCCATCCTACAGCACTGTAAAAAAATTGGTATAACGAATTTAATCGTGGTCGATCTTCGATCCAGGACATATCACGTGCAGGTCGTCCAAAATCCGTTGTTGTGCCAGAAAAGATCGATGCTGATGAAGCAAGATCGTCATGTGACATACCGTGAGATAGAGGCGTCTTTGGACACTAGTTAGCATCAATAAAATATTGCATGAACATTTGAGCGTAAAAAAAAATTTTTCGCGTTGGATCCCGCATAATCTGACTAACGCTCAAAAAAAGGCTAGTGTCGATTGGTGCAAGGAAATGTTGGAAAAATACGTTCAAGGTACATCAAAGGCTGTGTTCTACAGCGCAGTAGACGTTCAAGAAATTGTATCGAAATATGAGCCGGAAACAAAACAGCAATCAACTGTATGGGTCTTCCAAGACGAGGCAAAACCAACAAAAGTTGTTCGAGGAAGAAGCACATCGAAACAAATGATTGCCTGTTTCTTCGGCATTAACGGTCATGTGGCAACAGTGGCGTTAGAGCAACGCAGGACGGTCAATTCTGAATGGTACACGACCATTTGTTTGCCAGAAGTCATCGGAGAAATTCGAAAAAAGCAGAAGAACAGGCGAATCATTCTTCATCATGACAATGCGAGCTCTCACACATCGACTCAAACAAAGGCATTTCTGACGGAGCGAAAGATCGAACTGATGGGTCATCCGCCGTACAGCCCTGATTTGGCACCCAATGACTTCTTCTTATTCCCACACATCAAAAATAAATTACGTGGACAACGATTTTCGACCCCCGAAGAAGCGGTTGATGCATTCAAAACGCATGTTTTGGAGTTACCTCAATCGGACTGGAAAAAGTGCTTTGAAAATTGGTTCAAACGCATGCAAAAGTGTATTGATCATCTTGGAGAATATTTTGAAAAACAATAAAACCAATTTCGATCCTACATATTTGTTTTTTCATTATTAGGCCAGAAATATAAATAGCAACCCTCGTATAAGACCCATGACTATAAGAATAACATTAGTAATAATAAAACTAATTTAGCTACCAAACTCTGTAAATAAAATGCAATAATTTCCATATTATAGCTGCTTTTTTCATAAAGTTGTAATCGGCCTTTCGGTATGTTCAAATTAGAGACCTACAAAAGCAAACAGACTATTGACAGCTTTCTTTACTTATAGGTAATATTAAATTAATCAAAAATGATAATAACCTTCTTTACTTAATTACACAAGAGTAAAACGCTATGCTTTTTCCCATTGCATAATATGCAAGGCTCTTAAAATATTGAAACAGGCTCATTGAAATTTAAAGCTTTTAGACCCATGACAATGTGTTAGAATACAAAGCAAAGATTTTAAATACATGTCACATCTTTACCTTCTTTAACCATAGCTTTTCTTAACATATTGTGTAATGGGATCAGGAAGCACATCCAACTTATTAGCTTTTTTGTAAGATATGATCACATTTGCAATCAGACTCTAGGTCTGCTTTTAAAAAATCTCACAGATTTTCAGGCGAAACTTTTACTGAATTTTAAGATATCATTTAATTTTTCCAAATTTCAGTGAATTTATGCTGCCTTAGTCATCAATGTTTTTTTTTATGAAAGTTCAATTTTAATCCCATTGAAAGCACTACAATCAAATTAATCTAGCATGAGTTTATTCTGATTTGAGTCGCCATTTCAACATGATCAGCCACTATTAACTAATGTTGTGATTTAGAGAAAAAGCACACAATTTATTTTTCCAAAAGAAAATTGCTAAATTAATAACTAACTATTTTATTCACACTATGATATCAGAATATAAAAAGGATTTTAAAAAAATTTTCACTCAAAATGGAAATAATATCTACGAACAGCAGGGAAAAATCAAATTAAGCAATTGAAATGTGAATATTAACTTTAGAATATAGCTTCAATACATGTTTCTAAACAAATTGTTAACATTGCTGATAACACTATTCGACGTGCGGCAACTGAACAGTAGTGTTTTGAACTCACGCGCCAAAGGGTTCAATCCTTGGACCAGGTAAGGTTGACCTAGCGTTTCATCCCTTCAGTGGGTCGATAAAATGACTACCGAGCATGCATGGGGACTAAACACAGGGGATTCCGCATTCTGCTGACCACCTAACCTGAGCATCTGCGTCTGCATCCCAGGGCCCAAGGTCAAGACTGAGATGGGTACAGTAGGCCTTGGCCCTCTATGGGCTGTCATGACACTGAGTTTAATTTAGTTCTGCTAACACTATTCACAGTGTAAAATCAGAATATAGGAAAAATGTTCACACAATTTGGAAATATCAATAAACAGCAGTGAAAAACCAAATTAAGTAACAGAAATGTAAATGAATTGAACAAATGAAATATTGGAAAACCTTCAAACAATGTGGTAATATTATCTATGAACAACAGTGAAGAATCGAATTAAGAAATTAAAATACAAATAATACCTACCGAATTAAGTCTTTAAAACATGTCCCCTAACAAATCGTTCAGACTACTGCTTATACTTTAAAAACCTTTACAGTAACCAGCTGCTCATGAATCTTTACATTCAATTGAGACATCTGATGTTTTTCTATTGAATGTGACAATCAATAAAAATTCTCATACAAATTTAACAAAGTATAACTTTTGAAAAAAAAATTTAAAAATGACTTTTAAGGCAGTTTTAAAGAATATTTCAAACTTTAAAAAGACAAAAAAGAAAGACAGTGAAAATAAATTTATCAAAAACAAGGAAATGAAAACATGTCAACTTTATTTCATGATATGTTTTGCATAGACTATACACCTCAAACTGCAATTAATATTAAAAGATAGATCAGATAACAACATTGAAGGTCGATAAGAATATCTTTCAAAGTCATATCAGGAAAATAAGTCAAATTATACAAATACTGATCAAAATGGGTTAAAAAAAAATAGCACATAATTCATTTATTAATAAATACAAATCAGTAAAAACAATTGCATGCAACTAACTACAATTGATTAGAAAAATTATGATGCAACAACAGGTTTTAAAAATAGTCCAGCAACACATCATGGGAAGAACATGGGGTACGTATGAACATTTCAAGAATTAAGGAACCAGTTTAAAACGCAAATACTGGAACAGTTTAGAAAAGATCAAATTATAATTTGGCCCCCGCAACTTTCTAAAATGTAATCTCATTAGGTAAAAAAGTTTAAATCAGTTACAGCTTTCTCTTTTTCAATTATATAAAGTTATTCGAGTTGTACGATATTTTGATAGAGCATTACACATTTGTACTTGAATTATCTTGAAGTTATAAATCATCTAATTATATGCCAACTAGTATGCAACACAATAATCATTTTAAATTGTTGAATATCTTTGCTTAAAAAAGATATTACCCTACAAACATAACTTTATCCTTGGATTTGGCATTAAGAAATGTCCTACGGATACTTTCAAAAACTTTATTAGCATCTAAGGCAGCATCTATCCGAGTATGAATATTTCGCTTTTGATAATAATCAACCAGGGGTTTTGTTAGCAAGTGGTATGCATTTAGTCTCTTTTGTAAAGCCTCAGCTGTGTCATCAGACCTCCGAACTAGAGGTTCTCCTGTTATCTGAAAAATAAAATTTATTTTATTTTCAAACTTAGGTGAACAAGGAAGAAAAATGCATAAAATAAAGGAATTAAAAGAATGCTACTGAAAAACAGTTGAGAAAACTATTTTGCATACAGCTAATTTATTAACAATATTTCATTTTAACTGCTGTCTTATGAGATTTAATAAAGTATCAGTTAAATGGCATAAAAAAATAATTCACATTAACTTTTAAAACTAAGAAATGGGGAGACTGGTATATTATGCAGGGTTACCACTCAAATCTGAAAAAAAAATTCCCTGTGTTTTCCCTGTACATGTTATACGCAATATATTAAGAGGAAACAACAATTACTGTGCTCTGTGTGAGCTATATTGGGCTAACTATATTTATTAGTTCAATTGCTGGAAAAACTGCTGAACATACTTAAATAATACTGTGGTAAATGAAAGTTCGGTATAGCTGAAATATCATGGTTAAATATCCCATAGATTACACTTTGAGTGGTCACCGTTTTTTAAAAGACCAAAATAAAAAAAGAAAATTCCCCTGTATTTTCCCAGTTTGTAAAGAAAAAATCAAAATTCTCTGCATTTTCCCTGTTATTTTAGCTGATTTTTAAATTCCTTGTATTTTCTAGGTTTTCCCTGTGGAGTGGCAACCCTATTATATTATTAATAGAGCATGAGGTCAGAAAACTGAGCACTGCTAAAATTACTTTGGAAAAACAAAATTTAAGAATGTGTTAATAAAATGTGAAAATAAAATAAGATTTACCACATAAAACAAAACTATAAATTAACACAATAAAAAATTTTTAATAGCATTGCCCTACCTAAGTGTTTTTAGAAAGGTGGCCTGGTCTACCTTTGAACCCTATAAATGCACATTCGTTGCCCTTTTTATAAAAATAAGTCAACATCCCTTAAAAACGCTGCTTTTTTTCATATTCGATTTTCAAGAAAAATTATTTAAGTGTTAAAATAATAATTATACACAAAAACTATCTGTGTTTATTGGTTTAATTTTGATTACTATTAGAAACATTTACTTTGTTAGAATTATTCTTGACTGGTAAATTTATATAGGTTTCTCATTTTTTAAGTGGTATATTAATAAATTTATTACATGATTTTAAATTTTAAAATTATTTTCTAAATAAATACTTTTTTTTTTTTAAAAAAAATGCACCTTTTAGATGTTCACTTTCTAATAATTTTCAGTATAAATTATAGAGAAAAAATCTTAGCTGTTTATCAAAAAAAAAAATGTTAGTTTACTTCTTATTTGAAAAAAAATGTATGCACAGATATTGTCTCTTAGAATGCCTTTAATTATTTATGACTTAACTACTAATTTCTCTCTTATTTAGATGATGAGTAAAAATTACATTTTGAAATATACACATAAAATAATAAGATAGTAACTTAAAAACTGCTGAGCATCGAATTCAGTTATTACATGATATTACACATTTAGATACATTTTTACAGTATTAAGAGAGTGCCCATTCAAAACTCAAAGTTCCCTTTTTTCCATTGAGAAGCACATTGTATTTTTTTATTCCTAGGGAAACTCTGAAATAGCAAAACTGACCACAGGAACCCCAGTTTAATTGACAAAACTTACAACTTTACAAAAATAGTTTAGTGAATGGTCTACTAACAGATCACATTCAAAAATTCAAATTAGCAAAATATGACTAATTTTATCAGTCTATAGATTTAAAGTTTTATTTGATCAGTTATAAAATTTTTTTAAAAGTATATGATTGGGGGGGAAAAAATTTAACAGTGTGATTACTTATAAAGATTTTCAGAAGGAAAATTCAGAAAATGAGTAAGAGAAAAGAAACAAAAAAAAAACTTTACATCATCTGTCATTTCTTTTTTTGGAGGATGAAATTCTTCATGGTAAGATCTCCCACTCGGATGATGTATAAGTCTTCCAGTTATTCTTCGAACAAGCAAAGAATCATCAATTCCAAATTCAATGACAGAATCTAACTTAGACTTTCTCTTCTCAAGAAGAACATCAAGCTAAAAATCAAGCAAAATTAATAATTAATCAATAATGAAGCAAAAAGTAAAAAATTCAGAAATTAAATGATATTGATAGTAAAACATGCAAGCTTGAAAAACTGGTTTAAAAAAAAGCTTTTCATTTTATTCATTTATTATTATTTTAGTTTATAATTTACATGATATGTTTTCATTTTCACTTCTGCATAGCTGCCAACAAGGATAGGAAAATATCCAGCAGATTTTACAAAATAAAATACTCTTCATGATAATTGTTGCATAATGTACAAAATATTTTACACATAGGCAATTTTAGGTATTTTTAGAATCATCAAAATAGAAAAATTGCTATATTCTCCAGTTATGATTAACATCAAATGAACTTCCATTGTTATGCATTATGTTTACTCATAATTTTGAACAGCAATAGGCATTTAATTCATCAGAGATAGTAAAAATATTTTTCAATTAACTTAAAAAAAAAGAATTCTGAATAAAATAAAATAACAATTTTAGAATAAAAAAAGTTTTTAACTGATTTATATTAATAAGGCTCGCTTCATTATGTATTAGGTAGTAATACTTATTTTAATATTCAAGCATGCAATGATCTGTGCAAAAATTCTATTTCAATAGGGATTTCGTAGAAAACTTACTCAATTTTAGGGAATTTTCTATAACGTACAAAAACAAGAAGAATTTTTATTGAACCAGTAGACCAGAAGAAACAGGCAAAATTCAGTAGACTAGTGAAAAATCCAGTAGAGTTGGCAGCTATGTTTCTGTAATTTGATTAAGCCTCCATTCAAAAAAATATTTAAAAATTATTTTACTTCTAGTAAGTAAAAATAGGTCCTTTGATCTATAATTACTACAAAATACTACTACTTTGATCAATAAGTATTTTTGGCCGGGACAGCCTGGTTGGTAGGACGTTGGTCTGGTGTTCATGAGATCATGAGCTCCAAGTCCTGCCAGCCAAAGAATCCCCGTGCATTAAATGGTGATTGGTGCATGTTAAATCTGCTGGATTCACAAAGTCCTCCAAGTTCAAATAACAAATCAATAACGTTGGGGTTACAGAATTGGACATTAATCCTTCTTTAATTTAGGTCAAAATTATCTGTAGATGATCTGTAGAATGGAGTATAAAAGGATGTTCCGTTTAAAACAAGCTGTGACGCATGTGTGCGGCTAAAGTTGTATTCTTCACCATAGATGGCGTCACAGAAAAAGAAGGAAACACACCCTCCGCCTTAAATTTGCTTGGTTTCCTATAGTTGGATTGCTGGTATATTCAACACAAAAATGAATGGTATTAATTCAGCAGTTAAATGAAATTTCAATTTTTGCAAATTTTTTTTTTAAATTTGCATAAATCAAACATGTTTTGTTTATTAAATTGTCAGGCATTACAATAAACAGAAAAAAATGAGGCAGAAGTTTATAACTTAATTCATTCAACTTCGAAAATGTACGCGTGTTTATAAAGCTTTTAACTACTTTTTTATAAAATCAGAATTCTTTTTTTTTAATAAACAGATCTTAAAAAATAAATGATTTTGACATGTGGCAAATATGAACGGATTTTATGATAGCTGCTTTTTGGCAAATGCATAACAATGTAAAAATATTATTTTTTTTTTCATCAAAATTAAAAACTTGAGTATTTTTAAAGCTTTAGTTGATCTTTTAGGTTTCAAAGTGAATCCAGTTTCATTTTAAATGAAACTTTTCCTGTTTAAGTTCTATCTTAAATAATAAATTATATGACAGAATTTTTATAAATAGTTTTACCTAAAAATAATGCCATTAAATAAAAATATATGTCTATTATGTTCGTTTTTCTAAAATATATGAAAATAATAACTCAATTTTCTGTGAAAATCCAAACATAAGATTGAGAATTGAACTCTAATAATTATTAATCACAGAATTCATTCAGCTACATTAAAAGTCAAAGATATGTGAAAAGTGCAAGCAATAAAAGGCAGTTGTGTGTTAGATTTATTAAGCAAGAAAATATTATTAAACACCAAAAAAAAAATTTGTAATTGTTAAATTGCAGTTTAAAAGCAAATTCCTTTGCTCTAAAAAAAAGTGTTAAAAAATGTACTGATTAACTTCAAAGGAAACAATTACAACTTTAAGTAAAAATCACATTACCAGCTAAAAAATTTAGATCATTATATATAAATACACCATCAATATACAGTCAGACCTCGATATAAGGTCACCCTAAGGGACATTGCACAAGTGACCTTATAAGTGGGGTGGCCTTTTAACGGATTCATTAGCAGTTCGTAACTAAGCATGTAAATAGTACACATTATGACTTTTTAAAAATGGTAATACAAACGAAAACAATAGGCCATAAATTAAATATTTAAGTCAATAAATTTTAACAGAATTATTAAAGAATTAAAGAAAGTTGTCTGTCTCGTTTTTGGTTTTATTTTTCGAACCATGTTTTCTAGATTTTGTAACTTCTCAAAATGTATGACATTTATTGCATTAAAGGTTTCCACTTGGGTTACAGCTATAGTCTCAGGATCTCTGTCCTCACTGTCCACAACTTGTGAAACAATTTCAGAAATTGTAGCTTGTTCGTTGGCTGCAACATTTTCTTAGAACTCGGGAGGGGTAATCGCCTTGTAAGGAAGTTAAATAGGCGTTTGTTAGAAAAGAGCTTCCCTCTCCTCAGATAAAAATTACCTTCTAAGCGATAATGATTTTTAAAACTTGACCATATATCCGATAATCTGTAACAAAGAATTCCTATTCAGTGAGCCAGGACTTATAAAAAGTGATCTTATATGCGGATGACCTTATATCGAGGTCTGACTGTATAAGTAATCCTCAAAATAAAATTAAAAAGCGTGAAAGTGAAAGATTTAAAATACAAACAGTTTAAAGAGCATAACTATTATACTCACTTTCTCAGCTTGGACAACTGTACGAGGAAATCCATCCAACAAAAATCCATTTTTACACTCCTCTTTGTCCAGATTTCTATCAATTAAATCAACCACTAGAGCATCACTCACTAATTTACCATCATCCATCACTTTTTTCAAAGTTTTACCCAAATCAGACCCAGAAGCTACTTCAGCACGAAGCATATCCCCTTAAAATTATAAATTTAAAAGTCAAACACTTACTCAAATTAAGAAAAAAGAGAACAAAAATTTGTCACAACATTTTTAAAATATAAACTTTACAGTGATGAGAATTAAATTCTAGGGGACAATATTTGAAGCAGTTCACTGCAACCATTTTTCTTTTAGTTTTATAATAATTTTATTTTCTACTATTTTGAATAACAGTTATATACTTTAGGAGCAATTCTATTTTGGATCAAAAATTATATTCTACATGAAATTATGTTTAGAAATAAAGTCTCTAATCCTTAAAAAATCTAAAAAAATCTTTAAAAATGGCAAAAAATGCTTATAAAACAAATTCCCTCATTTGCCTCATCCTATATATTATTTTTTTCTTAAGTTTATTTTTGTTTAAATATAATTGTATACTAAGAGAAATTGAGATGCAATTTGCATTAAAGTTACAAATAAATTTTATATCTGAAAAACATTAGCTTGTTTTTTAAATAACATAACTACTAAATAAAATAAACTGCAAAAATAAATATTTAAAAAAAATAATACAAAAAAGTTACTTAAAATAAAAAGAAAATTCTTATAAAAAAAATTTAAAAAACTCTTGTCAAAATACTAACAAATTTCACCAAAATCAAATTAGTGAATAATACTGGCTAATATAATTACTAATTGTACCTTCATATGACAAAAAATAAAGTTGGGGAGCAAATATAGTACCTTCAGGGTAGTTTTATTTGATTCACTTTAAAATTAGTCTATTTGACTTCAATTGTATTTTTTTATGGGTGATTTCTTTAAGAAGCATAGATATCGTGCTCAAATATATATATATAAATACATTACAACACATTAATCAATCTACAATTCCTTGAAAAAATATATAACTAAAGAAAATTTGCAATCTTACAAATACTTATTAATTTTTAGTTTAATACCTAATCTCTTTCATCTTCTAAAATAATACTTCTTCTTGCAGATACTTTATCACTGTCATTCATTTAGACATTTCAAAAATGTAATTAATTACTTTTCTTTTTTTATTTCAAGGACATTTTCTCTTTTTCTTCTGTTTTGCAATCTCATATGCCAATGCCTGTTTTATGTTGAATAACATTTTTTGACTATAATAGTCTTAACTATCTTCTATTAAATTAGCTATTGTAATAATAAGACATAAGTAAAGCATTAGCAAGCTCATAATATTTTTTGATAATAGAATTATTTTATTTAATATACAAAATCAGTTAACTAATTAATATTTTTATTTATTCTTGACAAAAAAAAAATATGCATATGTGCATGCACATTAACATTAAAAGAACATTAGTGAAAGATTAATATTAATAGCTATACATAAGTATGAAATTTAAGAACTGCATTCATATACAGTAATTATCATATTAAGTAATATTAGTAATTTCACTTCAAATGAAATTATATTAAAAGATTGCCTACTGTCACTGCAATCGATTAATTTCGTAGTGAAGCGATAATTGTGTTGAGTTGCATTGTAAAAAGGAAGTCGCCCACTAATCTTCGCGCTAAAGCGGCAGTTATATCTCTTCTCTTTGAGAGCAGCATGCATACAACTAACAGAACATTGATTTTCTTCTACCTTGCATAAATCATGATTACTTCGTCTGCTTTTAATTTTCTTCCCCTTGCAAACTTTTTTGTTTGCCCATGTGAATACTTTTTTTGCAAATTTGCCACCAATGTCTCTGCACACGACGTGTGTCTATATTATCTAACTATGGTAATTGTGTACAACAGTAACATTTAATTATATGCAAACATAAACATTGACATATGCTATTTCACATCTCATTTTTTAATTAACTTTTTAGCATATTTGTTTAAGTTGACTTGGAATTAAAATGCATGCATAATCTGCAGAATGTTTTCACTTATTTATATGCTTATCGCAGAATATTACCACATATCATGGGGTTGGACTGATCATTTGCTTCATTAAAAATTCTAGTTTTAATACTCAAGTCTACTTTTAATCTATTTTACAATTTAAGGAATGACCTTAAAATCCATCTTTACTAAAATGAACAAAAACACTAACACTAAAATATTAAATAAATAATCTTAAGAAACTGAAGAAGGTAAGATATTACTTCATTAAAAACTTCATTTGCTTTGAAAATATATAAATAGCGAATCACAGTCAACTTATTTCAAGTACTTCAAAAGTAGTTGTCGATTTTTAAGACTTGCCAGATGTGAATGAAAAGAAATAAAAATGATTTGAAATTTTAAAAAAACGTGAAGTTGTCAACAAAAATGGAAAAATAAACATGAGAAATAAAACCACCAAGAAAAGTCACAGTGGTAGAGAGAGGCAAATGAGGGTAAAATGCATCTCCACTTACTATGCAGAGGTGTTGAGGAACTAATATCATTAACAAGAGAATCAGCAGTCATATGAATAAAACAAGATTCCAGGGAATCAAGATGTGACTGGAGTGGAAATAATTTCGGCACTGTCGAAATTGAATTTATGGCCAAGATTCCAACCATGCGTAGCAATTGATGGTTTCTCTAATTCATGTTGTCCAAGTATAGATATGTCTGTTATCATTAAAGTAGGATATCATCAATTGCTAAACATTGTAGGAATCTTGGGCACTAATTCAATTTTTACAATGCCAAAATTTATTTAACCCCAGTCTCATATATATCTTACCAGAAAAAAAATAAAAAATAAAATAATAATATATATATATATATACGAGGGTTGTTTTTTTTTCAACCTCCGATCGAACAGTATGATGGCCAGGAATGCAGCAGGTGATTGGTGTGCGCAGTAGGCGACTGCACATCTTCCCCGCTCAAACGCTCTGTAATGTCGATTCCAACAGGTCATTTCCAGTTGAGTTGCAGTCACATAAACATGGCTGTTGCTATTGATTCTCCCGCCAACTGTGAATTGCGAGCTGTTATCCGTTTCTTGCAGGCAGAAGGGAACAGTGCAGCGGAAATTCATCGAAGAATGAGTCGAGTGTATGGAGACACCTTTANGAACAAAAGAAATAGTTCATATGCAACTTACCACTATGTGTATCATATTTAAAACAAGTGAAGTGCAAAACATTCAGCAAGACAAATTGAAAACTTTGAAGAAAAAAAAATTATAATAATTAATGTGTTAAAATAATAAAAAAGAGTTACTTAATACAATATACCTGTTGCTAAGTGGCAGACACAGAATTCTTTTTTTAACCTTGGAGCCTGAAATAAAAAATGAATAAATCATAATAAATAACCATAATCATGTATAAAATTCATTTAACCGTAAAAGTTGGTATTCATGAATATTAGATAAAACATAAGAATAGGGTGACCTGGGGTAATTCCTGACCAAAAAATGCAAACATCTATTTTGTGAAAAAACTATTCAAGATAGAATTTTAATATTAACTGGAAGTTTGAGGGTTTATGAGATGAGTCACATAAACCCTCAAAGCTACCTTCTTTTGTTTGAAAATCTAATAAGAATTTAAAAGATTTTAAATTTTTAGTGATCAGGAATTACCCCTTCTCTTGATCATTTCTGGGGTAATTAATTCCTGATCACTTGTGGGGTAATTACTGATCACCAGTTTTTATAGTAAAGAGGCTGTTTAAAAATAATTATACAAATGTAATTAACAAATAAGACATCAAGATCATGCAAATAAACCAAAAAGATATGTTTAGGCAGCTAATAAAACAATTTATTTAAAAGCAAGAATAAAGATTAACACTTTAAATTTTCCAAAAACCTTTGCATTGTGCCATACATTTTAGTTAAGCAGCCAACTCATTCTCATGTTCTGCAGGAATATAAAAAAAGAGTGCCCACATGGGTAACTTTTGTTGGACTTTTTAACTTCATTAAGTGAAAGTGTAAAATTAAATTAGGTATGTCAACAGCTCTGACAGCAGCTCTCACACTGAAATTTTCCATCATTAAAAGAAATTTACTGATTTTGCTTTCTAAAAGCTTAGTATCCTTTTTAGGCTTATAATTTCTCACCATATTTATATTAAGTTAATTTATAAACTTAAAAATTATTCAAACAATGTACACACATAAATTTATTACAGAAGCAAGGTAAGACAAACCAGAACACATTTGTCTTGTATAGAGTTAAAAACAAATTTTGTGATTACAGTTAAAATATATTTTATAGTTGTTCCACTTAAAAAATACGAACTGTTATCTAAGAGAAGACAATTAGCTGTTTAATAGCTATTTTTTATACCATTTATAAGAAGAAATGACAACATTTGATATAGTTTCCTATAATCAATAATAATGTTTACAGTAGATGTGAAACAATTAAACAAAAGCTTACACTATTTTTATATCAAAGAAAAAGAAAGTAACTCAAAATATTTATTATTAATGTGCAAATTTTGAAACCCATCTTTGAAATGGGAAATACAGAAAGCAGTTTAAAAGATACTTATTTGGTTAGATTAAACAAAAAACTATTATTAAGTAAATGTAGTTATACTTTAGTAAAGTGTATGAGCATTCTTGTCCATGTCTTAAATTTAAAAAAAAAAAAAATTTTAATAAAACTTAGGCGATCATTATTTACCCAAGAAACAGAGTGATCGTGAATTACCCCGGGTCACTCTACTTACAAATATTCTAATTTTATAACTTTTTCATTTTACCATGGTTTTTCAAAGGCCTTTCATCAAGGAAATTTTTTTGAAAAAAGCTACAGTTTAAGTGCTATACACTTGTAGCTAAACTATAGTTTTTAAATATAAATTTCATCATACAGTGAAGAATTATCCACGCCTTAGAAGAGACAAATAAATTTAGTTCAAAAGTTAATCAACGTTTTTAAAAATTGCCTATTTGGCAACATTAAAAAATAAAGTTATAATAAAAAAAAAATTAACTTTTTATAGAATGATTCTAGAACTTTGATTGATTGTTGAATCATTCTTTAAAAAGCATGACTGGCAAGATTTTCACAATTATATCTTCATCAAAATAATGGCCAAGTTTTGACAACAACCAAGCAATGAGAAGCCAAAAACTATTTACTAATACGTAATTACAATTGATAATTTCTTTCTCATTTCTTACTCTTTTCATTCTATTAATAATATTACTGACCAAACTGTAATTACCTACTCACTATTACACTTTTCGAATTTTTCTTTTTTATAATCGAAATGTGTGAGGGGTTTTTAAAGAGGAGCTAAATAATGTCTGGTCTCTCAATTTCTGATGAAATTGACTCATAAGAGTAGAAGTGCACAACCTTTTTGAGAGAAGGGCCATTTACATAGCAGGTCGATTAGACAAGGGCCACACACATATTTAGTCATTTTATCTGCAAATATGATAATTTTTGTATAAACATTAGTGCTCCAAGCACTAAATATTTTAATCAGTAAACTTAATAAACAAATTTGCAGAAAATTAAATATTTAGAATTATTTGAATTTATTTAAAACTAAAAAAAAACTCATATATATCCCTATACCAGTGTTTTCATCATAGAAAAAAAATGGGTGAGAATTTCTCACCCTTTCTCAGAAACAGGGTGAGATTTCAAAAAGTTAAGTGAGATTTCTAAAAATTAAAAAAACACAAAAACTCTTGGAAAAAAAAATAATTTTTTTAATTATAACAAATTTTTAACGTCTTCTATTTTTTAAAGCATTGAATATTTTTGCTGCATCATCATAAAAGATTTTGCCTTTACAAGGTATTTTTCCATCTTACATTAGTGCATTAAAAATTTGAACGTCTTACATGAAGAAACCTTACGGTAAGCACGTGGTTGCAGAGAAATGTGTTCTGAAAGGGGTTGTGTTCTGTTGTTGGAAAAGGTTCTGAACAATACTGGTAAATAGGGAAGCTAGATAACGAGGCAGATGTTGAAAATAATGAAAGATCAAGGAAGAAAAGTAAAACGGATTTTATTCTAAATGGCGTAATTCGAAGCCTTTTCCAAAATGCGAGAAATTCGCGAATTTTGAAATTAATTTATAGAATGCGCGAATTTCTCGCGGTAATAATTTTTTAATGCGAGAACAGAAAAAAATATGCGAGATTCTCGCTTTCTCGCGCTGTAGTGAAAACACTGCCCTATACATGTTTGTGTAAATATTGGTGAGGTTATAAATTCTAACCAAAAAGAAGCTTACATAATGAAAGTGCAAATAATTTGCACATTTTATAGAGTAATATAAATTTGAATTAAATATTTTATTCAATGAAATTTTATTATGTTTAACCAAAACCAAATTAAGAGAAATGTTTTTATTATATTTATTATTTTATAAAAGAAATGTCTATTTCCTTAAATTATTTTTTTTGCATATTTATATCATTGCTATTTAAAAAGGTAAAATAAAGGTGCAAGATCGACTGATTTAGTAGTGCTTTCTAGAATAAAAATGAGAGAAAATGAAATTTCGTATTTATGCCGAATAGCTAGGCAAAATTAACTAAATTATGGAAATCTTTGGGAGATACCAGCACCCTGGCTCACATTCATATCATTTATACCTATACAATGAAAAAAAAATAATTAGTATAAAATTATGTTTACCTGTGTTCCTTTGCCTGCACCTGGAGGTCCCAATAAAACAGCATTTATTCCAATTCTCTTTGACCAAGTACTTATTTCTTCTTTAACATCAGCTTGGGGAACAGAACTAGTTGCAGGAGGCATAATGAAAGATGACTTGAATCAAACCTCTGTCAAGGCTATTAAAATTTAAAAAAATATTTCATTTTTAAGTGCTGTATGAATCAATATTAAAATAATTCACACTAAACAAATAAAATAACGGATAAAAACAAACAAGTAACAAGCATAATTTAGTTTAATATCATTTAAGAGGTTAAGTTAGTAAAATGTACCAAGACAGTTACAATCTTAATGCAAGAATATTCTAATCATGGAATCATCTAATTCATCATAATCTATTCTAATCATCACAACAGAATTTCTAATCAAAGAAGAAATAAAAGTCCCTATATCGGAGAAATTTACGAGTTAATAAAGCTTATTGATTTTTTTTTTTAAAAATGTATATTTTTAAATTAATAATGATCAATAAATATTTAGAATTTGCAACTTTAAAGAAAAATGAATTCTTGAAAACATTTTAATACTTTTTACATTTACATATTATAAATATTTCTTAAAGGAAATAGAAATTAAGAAAACAAAGCTAATTTTGCGATCAATAACTATCACACCGATGCATTAACAGAAAAATAGAAACAAAAGAACATTGGCTTAACTTAGGAATAAAAAAACTTTTACAAAAAATATCACTTTAATACTAAATTGATGACATTATTACCAGAATACACAAATAAAACCAGGAAATTATCAAATAAAACAATGCAAGACCACGTTTCTCTTCCGATCAAAGGTCGCTACCGGCTACTGCCACAAATGATAACAAAACAGAGTATTTTCAAATTATTTCTACTGCTACACATAAATGGTTTCGAACCGTTCCACTTCGTAAAGAAACTTACAGTAGTGCTCTTTTACTCAATAATAAAGAACGAAATAAACTCAAAAGTTGGAAATGTTCGGTGCGTAATGTCTAATAACGCTCACCATGGAGCTAGGAGTAAGTGGAGAAGACACTCCCATTAGCCCACTCCTTTCAAGGTGAAGCAACCGCGAGAGTTTNATACCAAAATATATTTCAGAAAACAAGAATTTTCCGATTACCTATTTCTGCTAAAATAAAGAAACTTTACAAAAAATGCAACTGTTTCTATTTAAAACCAAAAATAAATGCCAAAGTCAACAGCTGCAATTTTTCAAGTAAAAGTACACATGCTTCAAAAAAGTAGCTTTTTTCACAATGAACGTTGTTGCTGTATCTTCGATCGCTGCTGAGAGGAAAGGGGAACATAATTAGTGAGTTCTTTGATGTCGAGACAAAATATATAATTATTAAAATATATTTACAGCAATCGGGGTGCGGCAACAGCATTCGAAATGAAAATAGGCTTGACATTGAACTATAAACTTCATGAGTTTAAGGTCCCGCAGTGGACTGATCGTTAAGACACGGTTCCCAGCAGATCACCGAAGTCAAGCATCACTGGCTACGGTCAGTGTGCGGGTGGGTGACCACTTGGATCAGCCTGCGTAAGGACCGAGGGTGTGCGGTATGGGTCCTCGTTAAACTGCTCTACCATAAAGTGCTCGACTTCGCGTGCAGGTCGTCGGGCTACCGAAGCGGGGGTGCCATCCCTTCTGCAGAGGATCAAAATTGCGATGGCATGTCTTCGGATCATCCTCAGAGATGTTTCCCAAACCGTCGCCAATAGCCCATTGTGCAGCTCTAGTGCGACGTAAATGAACAACAACAGCAACAAATCATGAGTTTATAGAGGATTTGATTGTTTTGGTAGTATTGGAGGATTTTATAGACTTATAGATGGGTGGGCCATTTATAGATGGGTGGGCCATTTATAGATGGGTGGGCCATTTATCTTTTATGTAAACTCTCTGAAGGAGACTCGTGAGTGGCTTGACTAGTTAAAAATCAGAAGTTCTTCTCAAGTTTATATTCAGCTCCAATTTATTAGAGTGGGCTTACAGTCAGCAAGTGCAGAGCAACGATTTTCAAAATTTGGCTGAGAACGCTGGCACAAAGGATGCTGAGACGTTGACATCGGTGCTCCCCTTAACGGTGTGTAAAGAAAGAAAAAATACAAAATTAAGTTTGAATCGTAAATGCTGGAGCTCAAGGATGACAACTTTTGAGTTGACAAGAACTGGAGACATAATAAATGTTAATTTGAATCAGACAGACAGCGGCAAAAGTCCTGTGTTTGTAGAGGGTTGAGAAAGAGAGGGATGTTTGTAGGCGGCTATAAGCTGGACCTCTGCTGGTGCCAAAGCTCGATTCTCTAACTAACATAGAAAAACGTGTACACCCAAGTCCCGGGTGAGTTAGAAAGCTTGATATAGTGGTTGCCAGAGGTTCATAACCTGCATTTGACTTTTTTTCATTCTTTTTCTTGATATTTGTGATGAGAAATAAATTGTTTAAATTCAAACTAGGAAAATAATATTCTGCTGTGCAGGAAAATTATATACTTTGGTGAGCGTAATCAGTGAATGTACACTTACATAACTTCAACCTTTAAATTCTTCTAGAGATGAAAACAAAATGACATGTTGATACCATGTCTGACAGTAAAAATTCTATTATTTCATAAAATAATAGCGTCACGTATGGGCATTGCACTTAAAAAGTCGCTAATCTGTCAAAATTCCCTCCCATATCATAATATCATGGAAATGAAGACGTTTTCCACCAAAACCAAATTGAATTGCAATTGATTAGACAAAATGTCTGCACTTAACCCGTCAAAGCCACAAATATTATTATTTGAAATCGCAGAGAGAAAGGACACCGAAGTATATGAGTAGCAGTTATTGTTTAATTCGTTCGGAAAATTCTAAAACATTAAAATAGAATAAATCATATATTGGCGATCGAAATGGGCTACAGTTGGCTCCTATATATATATATATATATA